ATATATATGTACTACATGTGGACCTCTCTCAGATTTGTTTATTTCGTGATGATATCTTCAATTCTCTAATTTTGGTGAATATTTTTGTCATTTTTGGTAAAAGGTGATATTTTTGACTTCTTGTTAAAAACCGCAAGTCCGATTGCTTTGATATTACATATATAGGTACTACATGTGGACCTCTCTCAGATTTGTTCGTTTTGTGATGATATCTTCAATTCTCTAATTAATTTATTTTGGTGAATATTTTTGTAATTTTTGGTAAAAAGTGATATTTTCGACTTCTTGTTAAAAACTGTAAGTCCGATTGCTTTGATACTATTCATATTGTTCATTTTCTAATGATGTCTTCAGTTCTTTAATTGAAATGTGCATTGCTAATAGCGGAGCTATCTCAGCCGATAGGCTGCTTGTTTTATCTTATATTTTTCATTATTTCTGGAAATGAACCCTAATTTTGGAGCCAACAGACAAAATTTGAGTTAATTTTTAGTTTTTATTCATAAAAATTTGACTATTTTTGTCCCAATGTTCTGAAAGAAACTGCAGACTATAAACAGAACGAACTATTTTTGTGAAATTGTGATAAAGAGGGAACTGGTGGTGAAAAGTTAAAGAATAATTTTCAAAATTTACAGCAATATTTACCAATATTACTATCAATGTTTAGATAACACCCAACCCCACCATATACCTCAATTTTCTCAGTTCTATTCACTGCCTTAATTGAAAATTCAGGAAGAAAAGTTATTATTACGTGAATTGCACATTTTGTAATTAAAATTATATGTATTTATTTAGTCATTGAATGTATGCAAATTAAGCCTCAATGCTGAATATATAAAGTGTTGAAAACCCTGTGTAATGTAATAAAGTTGTAGACCTTTCCACAGCACCATTCAATTCTTCTGGGGACACTCCATGCCTTGTAATTTTATCCACGCACTGTATCCACTGACTCAATGTCTAGGAGTTTATCTGTATCGTTATCTTGGGTACCCGGCTGCTGGGCAGTTTTTACCACCCCTTGGAGAAAAGATGTATGACAAAATCATTTTGTATAAGTTGGGTTGACTGCGTTTTCTCAAACCCAAAATGTGTTTTTAAATAAATTTTATACATTTCACACACAAGTTTTGCTCGCATGGCAATGTATGGATAAATCACCAGGCTATCTACTTTTACCCGTACATGACTTTGACATTGAGTTTTTTGGTTGCAGCCGGTAACTTTTACAATGTCATTCTAGGCACATTGAGTTGGAGACCTAAACACACTCCAGAACACTGTATTTACTGTTTTATTGCAGTATTGTTTTGAAACACATGGCAGCGTAGGCATGACTATTAATCTTCTAAAACAAATATTTCTAGCAAATTAATTCTAAATTCTAATTCATATGAAAATATCTGCTTAAAACTCTTCCAAGGAGGATTTGGATTATAACAAGATCTAAATCCTAATTTTAGTCAATAAAGTTTCCAACCTGCCTTTACAAGGAAAATAAGAAAATGTGGATTATTTATGTTATTACATGTACATAGAATAATAGGTTTTGGGGGCTGCTGAGTCCAAAAATGTCTCCTAAATGAACCAAAAAACACGTGTTAGAGACATACCCATGCAGAATTTGCTAGTACTTAATTCATTTTTAACACCTTGGCTACTCTATTGGTTGTTTATTCTGTTGATTTAGCTTTTGAGCTAACTGATAACAGACATGCAAAAAATGGCCAAAATGCGCATGTTTCATACAGATTAAAAAAAGTTTTCATATGGTGTTTGCTCATAAACATCACAGCTTACTAATCTAACATGTGTCATTCATGTCTGATTTTACAGCCAATTACCTTGTTAATACCTGAGTTTTATGACCATGTTGATATGATAGATGACAGCTCAATGCCATTGCCACCATTTGATGATGATGAGGACTTAACAAAACCATTTTTATTACCTGAACAACTTTACAAAACCAGCCCAAAAGGTAAGATATAAATTGAAGTAGTTCTGTCTGTACACGTATTATCACTATTATATAGGTCAAAATGGTCATTTAAATAATTTTGCTGGAAAGAGCTCATCAGATCATATAAAACAAGAGAAGAAAATGCAGTTACCGCCAGTGAGGGCGGATAATAATGAAGTTTGGGGAAGTTACTACTGCATGAACTACTGTATGAACTTTAATATTTACTTTTCTGCCAAGTTTATTTCTGTGTTTACAGTATTAATTAATAAGAAGTATTTTTATGTTTTGCATTAGATATTGATATAACACCATCCAATAAACGTTGGAAACAGAATATGGATGGGTATGATTGCTAGTTAATTGAAATTG